GGAACTTTCCATTAGGTTGGTGTAGGGATGATACATCCCCACAGCTCAGAACAGGGTGTTGGGCTCTGTGCGAGCCGGACACGTGGCTGCGCTCCCCAGCACAACAAAACCCGGTCCCTGGCCCTGCACAGTGCTGCCGGAGCCGGGCTGCAGGGGAGAGCTGCCGGCTCAGAATGCAGGGCGGAGCTCCTCTACAGCTGCTCCGGAGTCCAGCCCGTGACTTCCCTGCAGCCCTCCCAGCCGCTCGCTCTGCTCTGCCGGAGGAGGGGGGAAATCCCGGACATTTTGAGTGCTTTACAAATTCCCCCCGGACGCTATTTTTAGCACAAAAAGGAGGACATGTCCGGGTAAATCCGGACGAATGGTAACCCTATCTAACTTGGTCTGGCTGCGCTCCCCTAAGTCCATTGAGCAGCCCAGAATAGCTGGAACATAGTGCACTCCAGCCATATCCTCTCAGGCCCCTGTCCCAGAAACTAATAAGGAGAGATTTGAGGCCCATCCCACCAGGCCTTTGCCACCATGCAATTCCCATCGCACTATGAGTATTCCCAGTGTAGAGGTCCAGTGGCTTTCCCCCAGGCTGCCTGAGCCCCGCTGCAGGCTCCGGCCACAGCAAGTGCCCAGCAATGTGCTGATGCAGCCGCTCTTTATCTACCCTGTCCCAAGTGAGGGAACCCCTGCTTATTTCCATCTCTCCCAACACTAGGGAAAATTCACAGCAACAATTTTGATGCCCTGCCCTTCCCCAAAGATTCCTCTGCAGCCCACTTAATGAGAGGCCTCGTTTCAGAGGAAAACTCCTCAATGTCAGAATGCAGAAGGTAGAGGAGGGAAGGTATTGGGCACATGGCCAGAGCCTGGGCAGGAGGAGGCAACTTAGCCTGACAGAAGTGATTAGTTGAGGGGAGACAGACAGACCCCTGGCACTGGAAGGGGCAAAAACAGTGTCCAAGCCATGGCTGAAGTGGAGAAGAGGCAGATGATCTGCAATGGGAACGAAGAGACATTTTTGATGGGGCCATAAAAAAGAGTTAGGCTGTTATGGGTTTGCCACAATCATGCTGCACCATGTCTCCTCTTCTTCCAATATCTCTTGCTATCCCAAGGTTGGTCCTTTTGTATTCTCCCTCTCTGCCACTACGAAGGCTCCCATGGCTTCAATATCCATCTCTACACCAAGGAATCCCCTAGGCCCTCTCCCCTCCATCTTGTTTCTACCCCAGCTGCTCCTCTGGGTCTGTTTAAACAAGAGTTTCAAATCCAGTTTTAACATATAACACTATTGTACATGCTAGTCTAGACTCTCCCCTGGCCTTTGTTCCAAGACACAAAAAGCTGTGATTTGCCCAAGAGCTCAGTCGCAAACTGTAGCCCAGATCTCCCCTTCAACTATCCTCCAGGATGTTCTGCTGACAACTCAAATCAGAGCCTTCTGGTTCCCCTCCTTCCTGTGCCATGTCAGCCCCAGTCATCCCTTTGACTCCTCTATTCTTACCTCCCAGGTCCTGTTTTCTCCTTTCTTCCTCTCCAGTGACCATCTTGCTGAGCCCTTTCTCATCCTTGGTCGTCTCTTGCCATCAGAACTGTGACTTTCTCTGGCCTCCCTGCCTCACGCTGTCCAAGTCTGTCCCAATATGGCTACTAACCCCCCAACCTATCCCTCCTCCATGGGATGCAGATTTGCGAGTCTTTGAAGTGCCTGCACCAAGACAATCTGCAGGAAGGAGTCTGACATGCATGCAGCAGGCTCTCTTACCGTTTTCAGGGTGCTCCATCTCCCCAATACTACCATCGGGTGTGGTGCGCTCATAATGATCCTCAGGCAGAGCTAGTGGCCCAATTCGGGGCCCTGATGATGACTTGCTGCTGGGAGTTTCTGACTCTTCTAGCCCGCTGTCATAGTAACTATGTTGTGAGGGGTCCTGCAAGTCCTGTGCCTGATTAGCTGCAGAGAATGTCACTCGGCGATGAGGTAACTGCAAAGAAAAAAAGAAAAGAGATAAGAGGTGATACCAGCCACCCACAGGGAGTGATCAGGACTGGTTATGAAACCTGATCTCCCCAGCAGAGCACAGAGGACAAAGAATCACAGCTTTCTCTTGACCCTAAGCCCTGTCAACTGAAAAAAATCTCTCATTTCATGAGCCCCCCAATGGACAACATCGCCAACCTCAGAGTAACCTTACCCCCTCCCAATAACAAGTGTCACCTCCCCTCATCTCAGGTGTCTCCCCTTGACTGACACCATCTCTCACCTCAGGGGTCTTTCCAGTTCTCACCAAAGAAATTTCCCCTCCCAACAAACATCATCTCTCACCTCAGAGTCCACCCTCCAATTTACACCATCTCTCTAACTTCAGAAACACTCCATCACCCAACAGACATCATCTCCTATTTCAGAGCTCCATGGAATCACCCCCCATTCTCCCTTACTACCATATCACCTCAGAGAACCCCCAATTGACATAATCTCTTACCTCAGAATGCTTCCTGACTAGCAGTCCCCCAGCTAACATGATGATCTCTGATCTCACGGTCCCCCACAGGAATTACATTACACCAACTCTCATCTCAGAGCCAACTGCTTCCACAACAGACACAATCTCCAACTCAGAGGAACCCCAGCAGAGTTCCACAAAACAGGGTCCCAGAACTGCCTGATCTTTGACTTCCCAGCTGACATAATCTCACACCCATTCACAACTGACACCACCTCTAACCTCAGAGGTCTCCCCTCGACTAAAACCATCTCTCATCTCAGAGACCCCGATTGACATAGACTCATAGAGTTTAAGACCAGAAAGGACTATTATGATCATATAGTCTGACCTCCTTCACTTCATAGGCCACAGAACCTCACCCACCCACTCCTGTGATAGGACCATAATCTCTGGAAGTCCTCAAATCTTAATTTGAAGACTTCAAGTGACAGAGAATCCATCATTTACTCTACTTCAAACCTGCAAGTTAAGGGTGCCCTATGATACAAGGAAGACCAAAAAAAAAAAAAAAAACAAAAACCC